GACCGTATCCGTATTGTTGGATGGATTTTACACCACTCTTTATTTCTCTTAGTAATCGTGGCAAATCGGTTGAATAAAAGAGATACTAGATTTATTTTTTCTAAAAAAATGACAGTACTGTGAAGGCGAGAGAGGAAAAAACTAGTGAAGTAGAGAGTTAAGGCGAGAAGGGAATGCAGAATTGGGGATTTTTATATTACTCAATATCCTAAGCATCTCCAATCTAGGATGCATGGACAGGGTGCTTTGTGTGTGATGGTGTTCAACGATTGTCATGCCTGTCATTTGCACTCCTCAAACACTCCATAACATATACTCTGCCCATGTTTGGTGGATTAAAATCTTGATAAAAATTTAAGTGGAAGCCAACAATTTATTTAAAACTTACAATTCGAAAGAATTTAAATGAACAGATCCGTGTTTTAAGTTTTTGAAAATCACGTATCGACACTCGCATTGTGTCTGTACAACACAGCCTCCAATTATAGTATTAAAAATTAGGGTATTCATTGAATAAAGTTTGCACTTAAAATAATTTTCAAGTCTATATATTGTATGTTAAATGTGTCGTGGTAGCAACTAGCAAGTCATGCATCAGTGTCCGTTAATTTCAGTTCTTGTGTATTCAATTCTTGATTGACCTTTCATTTCTTGTTTCCATGTTTTCTCACTGCATTCTTGGTTTAATGTCTGGTCATCTTAAGTTTGAATATACTATATAGTAGCTCATGTGGCCTTGGACGTGTAGCAACGGGCAATTAATTCATTGCACAAGGCGCAGATGGTTGAAAAGACGGAATATTCGTATTTTTCACTCAAGAATTTTGAAAGGAGAATAGAGCAAAAGACTAAGACAGAAGAATATCGAATTATGCAAAAAAAAAATTGGTGACAACATCAATCAATTTATGTCTGTCGGTTTCATTGTGGGGCTCGAATCCACGATCACAAGGTTAAGAGGCTCTATTGATTGAGATAGATGGGCCAGTGATATTTTGCAAAGAGAATCTAACATCGGCCCAGTCAAATTATTAAAGCCCAATCAAGATCATTATTTATCAAACGGGTCAATACCAGTTTCGGAATCGGATTTGGGCTCGCCTCTCCTGTATTGCTGCACAAGCAAACTGACTTTACATCTTCACAAATTTCTGCGATTCCATTTCAGATCACAATTTCTCTGCTACAGCCCACGGAAATCAGGTAAAATCTCTATTAAGTTTGAATTTACTATTCAATCAGGATTATAGTTAATCCGAGACTATAGAATTTTTCACAATCTTATAATTATCTCTATCTCTGGGTTTTATGTTTTAATAATATGCTGTGA